TGTTTTAAAAAAAAAGGGTGTGCATGGGGGGGGGGTTGTCTCGAAAGCTGAAGGGTTTAGTGAAACTTTTTCAATGCCTAAATTGTTATTTTTGTCCAAAAAAAGAGCAGTTTTTGGTCAAGCTGAGCCCTTGCTCTCCTCCTCCCCTGAGGCCTGTGGTGCTGCCACGTGCCCCTGGCTGCCCGCAGGGCCCGGCAGCGAGGGACCCTCCCGGCGGTGCCACCCCGGACACTCAGCATGGCTTTGCTGTTTTGTAGGGCGCATTGCGAATCTGTCCTTTGTCATCCCGCAGAAAGGGAGGGAACAGGCTATATAGGCTCAGTTCCCCCCCCCCCCCCCCATCATCATCTCATAACACAAAAAAACACCAAACAGAGTAAAACAAGAAAAAGAGGTTGGGGAGGTGTATGGCCCAATGCGCACACCTGCAGCAAGGCACTGAGTGGGAAACGGGATCCCTTTTCCCAAGCCGCCTCCTGGCACATTAAAAGGAGGGCATTTCTGTGTGCCTGGACTTCCCCAGCTGCAGCCAAGGTCCGTGAAAAGGCTTAACAGGACATCTTTGCTTCCTTCCTCCTTTTCATGGCTCGTGGGCCTCCAGAAAGGCCACAAAGGCACCGTCCCATCCTGGGGCTGCTCTTGGGAGGAGCACAAGGGCACTGGGAAGACTTTTGGGGAAGGAGCAGGCTTTGGACACGGTACAGAAATGGGGGCAGTAGCAGCAGGGGACACTGGATACACTGGCAGGGGCAGGATATAGGAGAAACCCAGATAGGTAAGAGGCAGCTCTGAGCAGGAGACACATTGCCCGGGCAGAGGAAGCACCACCATGGTGGGGACAGGCAGCAAGGGCAGAGACAGCACGCACCCCGGTGGGGCCGTGCAGCCAGTTCTCACTCGGAAGCGTTCAGGCCCTTAAAGCAACTTGCTACCTTTAGTTTCGTAGACCTCACTACCAAGAACTCCACGGAAAAACTGCTGTCATTTGACCAAGAACACTGGCACCCTCTCAGCCAGCTTCAGCAAAACAGATGCTGGTTAAGCACCTTCAAAAGTTACCTCCGTGCAGCTCCCAAGCTTGGCATGCCTCAACATGGATGAGATGCCGTAAGAACATCTCCCCCTTCCCAGGCAGCCTCACATTTACTGACTGCACATGGGATTCCCCGATACCATGAGAAGTCCCATTTTCAGAGACAAACTCATTCTAAGAGGCAGGAGGACACTATCATGATTTTATCTCCACATAAAACTTTAGTAGTCCATCACATAGGAAAAAAAGAGGAAATGAACACGAGGGAATCCCAGTCAACAAGCTACTCTGAGGAGATGCAGGAAGTTACGCTATGGCACTCTTTCAGATTAGTCATCGGAGAAAAACACAAGTTCGGTAACTTGGGGGATGGGGGGAGAAAATGATATGTTTAGGGCCTGAGAAAAACTTTTTTTCATGCGTGCCAGATACTAGGCCAGCATGTTAGATCACTTGTGGGTGACAGTTCTTCAGCAGCATTTTGAAGCACATGCTGGTGTGCCTAGCCTCAGATACAGCTCCAAGGAGGATGGTGCCAGGATCTCTCTGCACAATGCGGAGTTGCCCAAATGCTCCATTTTCTTGACTAACCGCCATGGAGTGTGTATCTCTTCCCAAAGTAACCTAACTTGTTTATTTAGATTCCGCTCCCATTAGTGCTCCTGCTGACTCCAGCGAGCTGGACTGGCTCCTTAAGGCACTACAGACTGGTGTGGGAGCTTGCTAGTGAAACCGGCAGGGAGTTGCTCCACACTGCCTACAGTGCTATATAGTTTGACTTCAAATCTGAGCTCAGCAGTATTACAATCTAGTAGCAGATTCATTTCCACAACCTATTCATTTCTAATGAAAGATGTCATTGACATGTACCTTTTGAAAAAAATTCACACAATTACCTTTTTCTATCCATACTTTATTGCAAGTGTACATATAATTATTTATATTTTATTTTAAACATGAAATTCCTTTCATGGAAAGGAGAAAAGTTTACCATTAAAATAGAGCGATTACACCATGAGTATATTACAAATATGTACAAATATTGGCAGCTAGTTTCTAACATCAGCTGATAAATGCTTATGTTACCCTCTACCAAACTAACTGAAACCAAAATAATAAGAGAGACCTTCAAAGCATGAAGACAACAAAATCTATTACTAGTGGGAACAGGTTTTTTTTTTTTTTTCCATATGAATACAAAAACTTGCATAATAGATATTCACAGTGCTTGTAAGATATTAATTCATTTTCAGTCTACACACAAAAAAAGTGTCCAGTCTCCCCTGTATATGCATATGTAACTTTTAGTACTGGAGGGAGCTATGTAGACAAATGAAAGACGACAGTCAAACTTTTGAGACTCAGTTTTCCTTCCCCACAAACCATGAATACATACAATCTTCCCCCTCCTCTCCCAAGTACATACAAGCATCAGAAGCAATGAATGCACATGCAAGAACCAATTACATTGCTTTTAGGCAATGGTGTATTTTGTAAACCAGCAACACCAACATTACAGCATTTTGGAATAATGGCAACAAGAGTTCAAGCGTATGTAGAAATACTGTTTTCATGTAATCTTAGCAGAAATAGAAATACCGAGAGTTCCAACACATATGCTCTTTCTCACCAATTGCATTTAATGCTTGGTAACACTAAAAAGAAAACACCAAGCTGAGTAATGGTATTTTATGGTAATAAACATTTCAGGTAAACTGGTTAGGCTGAAGCAGGTATGAATGTGATTGTCTTTGAGAAAAGAAATGTGCATGGCTGTGAGCATGTGTCACATGTTTTACGAAAGGTTTTGAAAGAGTTATTCCCATTTTAAACCTTTTTTTTTTTTTTTCTTCTTCCCAGTAAGTGACTGTTGACCAAACCACAAGTTAATTGTACATCAGCATGTGTAGCAGAGCAACAGTTAAACAGAGAGGTCACACCAGAACTCCCTTCCTTTTCATTAGAATATGGGCACCGCTAGAGTAAGACCCATCAATCCAGCCCTGCAGCTGGCTTCATCCTGTAGAAGAACAAGGTTGTTCCATGCAGCACAGCCACCAACCTCCTGCATCTTGGATGTGCCCCTCTCCACAGACTACTGCCAAACAGGTATCGGGTAGCAGGAGGCTAGACTGGCCTGCTCATGAGCACACGGATGCTCTTTGACCATTTAAGATCCACTTAAGAGAGTTTATTTTGGATACAGGAAAAATATCTTCAGTATTTTGTAAAGGCCTTTTTGGCTTTCCTTGGAATAATGGAAAAGCACACAGATCATAGCCATTCATGATAGAAGAACGAACAGTGACCAAAGAGACCAGAATGAATTAAACTGTGGTTACAGTAAGCTTGCATCTGTCATCCCTTCATCAAACATATAGATTGGGGTTGGTGCTAAATTCGTATCAACCACTGATGTCACTTCAGTAAATGCTGATGCACCTGGTGGCCTGCTTTTGTATCTCTACATCACATTACTTCCTTGGAAATACTTAGTGAGATTATAGAGACTTTAAGGATTTGCTATTTTAACAGTTTACTAGAATGCAATTTACCAAACAACTCCTACTAAGCCAGACATCAGAGCAGCAAGTTGAATCATCCTCATTGTGGTCTGGCTTCCTTCCTTTCCTACATTCAGTTATCTTCACCTTTGAGTCATCAACACTTTACAAGACATGCTTCCTAAGTCAACGTAATAGCATCACTCTATTGTAAAGTTTGCCAAAAAATGATTAGTTTCTACCTGCACAGTTGTGAAAAGCTTTAGTTCCATCATCTGTCAGCACAGCTGGGCACAGGTTACACATGGCTGTACATACAAGTTTCCCAAATGCCGGGAATCATTTTGGAGTGGGGGAAAGGGGAGGTAGGGAAGGAAAAAAAAAAAAAAAACACCAAACAAATACTCCTTGATTTAGCTGCTAGAAGGTGACAAGATGTTTTCCACACCAAACAAATGCTTTAATCAAACAGCATAATCATAGCTATTGTATCAGTGAGAGCCAGCATAGCCAGCTCCATAGGACTCAGAATCACCACACGTGACTCTTGGCTTGACATACAATCCCACTACACTTCCACCATCACGGGCCCTACCGCATCATTCGCTCACACTTGCACCCTACCCAGGATTAAACTGGACAAAGTCACTAATAACTATCCCGTTTGACCTTCCAAAGTGACTTTCTTCAGCCCATGCTTGCTTCCCCCTAAGCGAAGGATAAACATTTTTAAGCAACAGATTTATTAAAAATAAAGAAAAGAACAACCTAAAAATGTATGATTCAAAGTAAGGGGTGATCATGCCTGGACAAATTTTCCAGTCACACTCCCATCTTCAAGCCAGTCAGGTAACGTTATCATCTTAGCTGCTTCTGAGAGGACAGAAAACAAATCGCTTGTTTTCTCCTCTCCCCCATCTCCCCTAGGCTATAAGGATTTACCTAGCAATCTAATCATGGCGTTAGTAGACAGGTGACAGTTCCGTTTGCTGCATTAAAAAAATAAAATAAAAAAAGAATGAAGGAAAACAGAAAACCCACGCTGTATTTGGCTGGATGCTTGTAACAAAACAAAAACACCTAGAAATAAACTCACAGTAGAGCAGGTCTTGTGCCCAGTAAAGCAAACGGGCAACCTTTGTTCATTATAAAAAGAACAAACTGGACTTCTCCGTACACGTACCTCCAGACATACTCAGAGCATGTCTTGGCCTGACAGCTGTTAGGAGTGTTACAGCAGCGCAAACTCAAGGCAACAAATCTCTTTGTGTACTTGTGTTAACATAAATGGATCATAAGAGAAAGGCAAAAAGCTAAACTGACATGGACATCTTTCTGGTAAATCCGTTTTGACACAATGTTTCCTTTAGTGACTCAGTACCAATTTTGGTCCACTGTTTAGGGGGTTTACATCAGTTGTGTCACTGCTAATGGTGCAGGCCACTTCCATTTTCCTCTAAACAGATGCTTCAAATGCCAATTTAAGTGCTACGCTCCAGTTAATTTGCCCTGTAGTCAGGTCTGCAGAAGTGATGTCACTTACTGATTATGAAGCTGAGTAACAAAGTTACTTACAATCTCCTGCAAGAACCAGATTGACATCACATGTGTTAATGAGGTATATATAATCACTTCTGTTTCCATGACGAGCTGCTCCCTGATGTGCAAGAGCTCCAATCTCATTACACCACAAATTCCTCTGGGAGCTGGTCCTCTCCCAGAAGATCCAAGGAGAGGCAGTTCATGGATCGTTTCCCATAAAGGGCGGACTTGGTTTTGCAGTCCGCTGTGGAATAAACGCAGCCGTAGATAGCCAGCTTATCCTCCAGGGTGCAGCCGAATGTGTAGCTGTGAGACGTGTCCGAAGACAGCGTGGCACTTAGTGGCGGATGACGGTGCTTATAAAGGCGGATGTCATCCAAACTCTGGCTGTGCTGATCTGTGCAGCTCCTGGCTTTGGATGGTCTGACCTGCCAGTTTAGTTATACATACACGAATAAAAATGATGAGCTCAGATACAGCCTAAGGATGCTGGCTGTGCACACTTAAGCTTTCCAAAATTGTTTTTCCATTCCTTCAAACCACCCTGTCGGCCTTTTGAAAGACAATGGCTTAACAAAGAAGCTTTGAACCATTAAGAAACTACAAGTGCACTCAGCTACCTTGCCATGTTGAGCCAGATCCTGATCTTTGTACACTCTGTCCTCACTGTCCAGTGCATTGGACTAAACACTTAACACAAATAGCATCTAACGCACTGACACTTCTTGGCAGAACTGTGCAGTCAGCCTCACCCATTGGCAAAGTATACATTAAAAAACAAAACAAAAAAAAAACCCAAGTGCTTGAACACACTAGAGGGTTAAAGTCTCATGAGCTGAAAGAAAGGTTCAGAAAGCAACTATGCAAACAAACAGGTCAAGGTGTGCAAAATTCAGTAAGTGCCACATATAGAAATGAAGAAGACAGCAGCAACGAACCAACAGTAATTCTCAGATGCAGGTGTTTTTCTACACAAGCTGTAGCGACTTGGCCTTTATGGAGGTATTACTAACCACCTGAGAAATTTCCAACTTTCTCAGCTAGTTTTTCTTGTTCTGCCTCTTGACAATCAGCTTTTAAATGCTAATTTTAAGACTGATTTCAAGAATATGAACATTTAAACCGAAATATTTTTTGTGAGCAATACTGAAAACTGCCTCCCAATCCCACTACTCCTACACACTGGATGGAAATTAAACTACTCGGATGAAACGCTATGTTGGCTAACCGTGCTCTCAGGAACAGGCATACACAGTACGGTCCAGCCAACCCTGAGAAACTCAGTCCTGTACTGTTTAGTTACAACTTAAAAACTGCACTTCAAAAGCAAGATGCCTGCTCTCTGCCCTGCGTGCTTCAGTCCTTCCACTGAAATCCAGAAATAAGTTCATCATGATTTGCATTGCACAGTCTTCATCTTTGGGTAAAAATAAACCAACAATTACAAATCAAAAGAGTCTGTTCAGTGTTAAGTGAAAATTTCTTATCATTCTTGACTGGGTCCTGTAGGAGGCATGAAAAGACAAGAAAAAAAACTTCTAAGAAGTGACTGAAGTCCTTGATCAGAAAAGAAGTGGGAGTAAAGGGGAAAAAGGATGAACAGATTTTTAAAATTCTCTGAGCAGATAAGGCCGATTTGCATTCGGTGAGAGAAGAAACAGTAGAGACATTTTTAAATGTTTCTACCCCTGTGGGTGCAGCTACACTTTGAAAAGTAATAATGCTTGACCTTTTAAAAAAACTGTAAAAGCTTTTTCTATAACGCAACCTATGATATAACGTATTTTACCATACGTAATTGCCTTTTCTCAAGAGTTTGATGAAAAGAAGATGCTGACAACAAGGAGTCCAGCACACACATAGTATAACCACACAAGTGACAGTAATTAAAACCTGAAGGTCTGGGTTTGCTCTGATGTGAGCCCCTTCCAGTTTCAGGAGCCGGAAAATGATCAGCTTTGGAACCCACATCCAAACTGCATGGATGGTCTTGGCTCTATGTTGCACTGAAAACGCGTAAGTGCTTATTCTCCATTTCTTCTCTGGAAGCCTAAGGCAGATAATAGCTGGCTTGCAAGATTTCCATATTGATCACTCCAAATCTTTTTATACTATTCTGGACCTAAATGCTGCTGTCATCCTATCTCTGATAGCAACAGCTGACAAACAGCTGTTTTCAGTTACATTATTTAAATCAGTTAAATCAAGACCAACCAATTTCACCTGATTTACAGCTGTCTCCGTTACACTAGAAGTTGGTTAAACGTCCACACACAAACCCTCCTGCCAAGCATCTCTCCTTACCTGATGAAGGGATTCCACACTTTGACCTCTCATTTTTATTAGTGTGACTTGCACCACAGACAGTGACTCCTGATTAAGAGCTGCAAAGGAAAGAGAGGAAACAAAAAGAATTATAGGTTTGAGTTTTTACTGGCTACTGCTGAAAGGGAAGTCATTCTCATAGGCTACATTCAAGCAGCACTATTCTATTAATATAACTATTCATCAGTAAGCACCCTCAACGCTCTGCAAGTTTTGCTCACAAGTACTCCTTTGCCCTTAAGGATCAAGGTTAAACTCCATCTCCCCTCAAAACGACAGTTTTCACCAACTTTTCCATATTCACTTATCTTGCTCTGCCAGAAGGGCTACATGTTATTTACGTGCCTTAAGACCAGACAGCTCCTGTGTGAGCCTATTGTCTAGCCTTCCCTACAACATGAGCCACAGAACTGCACCTGTTAATTCCTGTGCCTGGCCCATTAACCTGACATTGAACCCTTTGGCTGTTTTGTGGTATACAGCATTTTAAATTAAATTCCTTCACTACAAAAGGTTTGCCTCAGTTGTCTTTTTGGCATTAACTGAATATAAATAAAATAAGCCTGGTAAATTTGGAGAAGGGAGACCTTGAGGAGCAAACAGGAGAGGAGCACTGCGCAGTACAGAATGCAAGCCTTTAACTTCCAGAGGAACTGGCTTGAAATCCTGTTGCAGTAGCGCAGTGAAGATGCAGCTTTCTCAGATCCCTCGCTTGCCAAATACATCTCCCTATTGCTACAGCCTAAAGAAAAGCACTGAGTTGTAGTAGAAAGCCATCTCACCTTGGCAGCTAGCAGCATCTAGATGAAAGGAATCAACAGATTCTCCTACAGTGGCCTCCTCTAACTGGTCTCCCTCTAAAGGCTCATCTACGGGCATCTCCTCAGGCTCATCTACTGCCAGCTCAAGCTCTAGCAGGAAAGAGCCACAGGAGAAGGATTAGCATTACAATTCTGCTCCAAGCTGCTTCACATTCTCTTTCTCCCCATTCTCCTGCAGGAGAAGACAACAGCATGCTTAAAAGTTGCTCCACAACTCCAAGTTCCTTACCATCATCTTGAGAGTCATCTTCAGCCCTCCCTTTGCTGCCACTGTCAATGCCAGAGCTACCATAGCTGATGGTTGAGCTGCAGGATTTTTCTTTCCTATGTACCCGATCAATGCTGAAGGGCTCATCCACTGACATTTCCACAGATACCCGGTGCCTTGAGTCAGCCTCAATGCCAGATGTGTGAGAGCTGCCATGACTCCCTGTAGACTGGCGTGAAAGACGGTTATCCCTCTGGCTACCTCCACTGCTCCCGCTGCCGCGCGAGTTCTTATCAGACGGGTCCAGGTCCATGTCTAGCGTGTCACTGATGTAAGACTCCCGGTAGCGCTTCTTCTCTGAGAAAGAGAGACGTGAGAAACCAGGGGAAGCTAAGCTAGACAGAAGGAGTGTTAGCAAAAAATAATCAGTAAGTTCTGGGACTGGTAAAACCTGGCAATTAAGAAACAATTACTACAGCTACAGAACCAAGACAGGGAGTTTTGCATTCTGTTTGCTCAACAGATACCGAGATGGCCAGCTGGCTATAACAGAATTACAGTTAGTCATAGATACAGTAAGGCCAGTATCTCATGAATTAGAGCCGGCAGGTATAAACAGTAATGGTACAGAAAATATTAGCTTACAGAATAAGGAAAAAGACAGGAGTTACCTGTCTAACCTAAGTGCTCAGTGATTAAAACAGAGTACACTGACTGTTCTTCAAAACAGTCACCAGTGTGTAGAGACAGCCAAGAACAGGGTCCCCATGGTTGGCATTTATTAACCACTTCTTCCAGGGCTGGTATCTGTAACCTCAAGAGAGGTGTGCTAAGGGAGGCCAAGAAATCCATGAGACACTAGCAGACACAATGCAGGACAACCTAGGAAAAAAACCATCCCACCCTAAAGCAGGAGCTAGAAGGCAGAGAGAATGCACCAAGGCAGTTCGAATGCTTCCCTTTGGGCAACTGAATCATGTCCCCAGGTGTTACCACAATGTTATAAGACCCGTATTTAAGTACTGATCCACTGTAGGCAATGTATGTTAGCAGAGCTCTCCTGAAATAGCGCTTGATAAGGAAAGAGGAGTTCAAAACGCCAGCAAAGACAGGACAACAGCTCTAGTACGAGTCCAGGGAAGACTCACAGTCTGCAATGCCTCAGTCTTCCAACAAGACGGGAATCTATTAAAGAAATCCTGAACGTTTAAATGTCCACTGGACCAGGAGGAATGAGTGCTCACATAGGATAGCCTTAAGGAGGCCACTAGAAAAAGCGAAAAGAAATAGCAGCTAGTCAGGTGGCAGGATATATACCAAGAAGAAAATAGTAGATCGATCCCATTTTGACTTTGTACACTTACAAGAAACAGTATTTTTAATACTGCAGCTCTTTAATTGCAATTTTTGCCCAAGCACTACCATGTTGTTGTCCAGAACCAGAGTGGACTACAAGGAATCATCAAAAAGAAGCCTTCGAAATAGTGTAAAAGTTTTGTGAAGGCAGTTCTCAAGCCTTCTGCCCACATGCATTTGATTAGTGAGCCTTTGTACAGATGACTGTCATGCACCACTGATTGTGCTTACACAGCTCGAGGCCATTTGTATAACCCCACTAAAGGAAGGGACAAAAAAACAGACCAAGCGAGATGGCCATCTTGCTCTGTACACGGATTCCACACAACCAGAAACCACCACTTCAGAGACAGATATTAACTCCTTAGCATTAGCTGAGATGAACAATAACTGACCACAGAGAGGAGTTTCTTCCAGACTTCTCGCTGGATGGAACAAGGCTAGGTCCTCATACAAGAGGAAGGAACTACTACTGGCTGACTTCTACTGACTTCTGCTATCAGTAACTTTAAGTCTATCAGGAAGAAGTCTTACAAACCCCAGAGAAGATAGAGGACGCATTAACGGAGAATGCGGGGAACAGCAGCCATGAAAGAACTGGGGCAAAAAGCAGTTGGAAGAAGGCTATAAAAAAGGGGAGAGATCTTCCAAGAGATCGCCTGTGTAACGCAATCAAAAAAAATCACAGGGAAGAGGCGGCCTGAGAAGTTTCTATGAGATCCAGGGCCCCACAGAGGAGAAAAAGGGAAGGAAGCAAGCAGGGAGGGGATGAAGTGACTGACGTCTCCCTAGAAGGATACCAGGGACTGTCAAACACCATCCCTACAGAGAGAGGACCCCATCAGATAAGTTCAGCTTTATTCTGCCTTTATCTGCTCTCAGATTGCTGCTGGCACCTACAACTTCTTACTGGTGGACGTTATAGACTAAACTGCAAACACTGTTTCATAAAGGAGCACTAAAAAAATTAAGACACTGGCTCACATTTTGTACTGCTCCTTGAACAAAGGAAGATCTTATCCCAATAGAAAGCTTTTTATTCAAGATTGCTTTGTCTCAGAGGCACGTGTCAAACGCGCAAAAATTGACAGCCCAGAGCAGAGACCTCCTCTTAAAGGGGGAAATTCCCCCTTCACTGCTCACACATGCACATTTTCTGATCACAATCTAGCAAGGTGGGACTAAATCCACTTCCCATTAATTGCCTTGAAACTAATTTAAGACCTCTATTCTTCTGTCTTCTGTTAGGGCAGAAATACCATCAATTAGAGAGCAGCCACTGTGAAGCCACAGCAGAGAGACTAACATGCCATACTCTTACCCTTATCAAAAAGTCATCTGCTCTCCTGTCACATACCTTCGGCCTCCTCTAGTTTTTGGATTTGCTTCAACACTGGCTGGATATTCAGAAAGAGCCGGTGGCTATTGCTGAGAAGCTGAAGCAAGTGCCGTGACCTGAAGGGGCAACCTGTGTAGTAAACCAATTTCCGTGCAGAGGGCAAGCCATCTGGCTGGATCTCAAATTTTTTCCCCTGCATAAAGAGGAGAGATACCAGAGCAGTCAACAAGAACATGTTTTCGGTCTCATAACTAACAGAGATAGCTGCGATCTTACGCAGGCTAGTAACAGGACTTGACATGGCAATTTAGGCAGGCCAACAGCCTTGCCAGGTCCCAGGTTGACAGCCCGCTGCCAGATGGCCTCCATTCTGTCATACTCACCAGAAACGCTAGCTTCCCGATGTGCGACCAGGGAAAGTCATAGAGGAGCTGACGAACATGATTCACCTCCTGCAACACATCAAACTCAGAGTGACACAGGGATTGACAGGTACAGACAGGGTGGAGTCAGTGATGTGCAAAGAATTTGCAAACAATCAAGAATGTAAGATATGCGGAGCCTGGCGCACACAGGCAGAGGAGCTGTGGCGGGGGAGAAGACCAGGAGAGCTGCAGAGTTAAACGCTGCACCAGGCAGCTTTCATGGCAGTCTGTTACCTGATAGATGTGCATTCCTCTAAGGGTCAGGCCCAGGATAACTGTCGGCCGATCCTCCTTCTTATCCTAAGAGAACAGAAGAGCCTGGAGTCAAAGGTTAATCTACAAAGACCACACTGCTGTTCTGAGTGCCTACAGCTACTGCAGCAGAGGTAGCAGGACTGCTCACCAGGCAAACGTCATCAGCATTTTAGCCTGTTCATTTACTTTTTATTCTGCTTCTAAAAAGCATGCTGCCTTCTTGGCCCTTGAAAAATCCTCTGCATTAAGAAATATCTATGAATCCCCTCTGCGTCGTGGGTCTCGAGCATTTTGCCAACAGCAAACATCCAACAGTCCCAACTGCCCCGCACGGGGAATCCTTGTAGCTTCAGTCATTTGAATACATGGACAATTATTGCTCTTAAAAGTAATTTGTAACAGATTCTCTCTTACTGCCATGTGCTGCCTCTGCTATCCCCATGAAGACACATGGTTCTCCAGGTGACAGAGAGCCCAAAATAGAAGGAACCTCTGTCCCCTCTCCTTGCCACAGCAAACCCATTCCTATCCAGAGGCTTGCTGGACCACAGATGTACTCTGGCCAGGAGGGAGCTAATCAACGCCTACAGTTACAGGCATCTTCTTTTAACCTTTTGGTTTCAGGGTAGGCAGCAGAGGGCTTTAAGTGTTCAAGGCTTAGCTGAAATACTGACCCGTTTTCCCTCATGCTGTATCTTGGTATAACATAATGCCTCTCTAATGAAGAGACTTCTTTGCTTAAAAACCAAAAAAAAGTATCCCAAACTAGTTCACTCGGTCTCTCTCTCCTGGCATTGCAGGAAGAAAAGGAGAAAGACGACTGTTGAGGAACAAGATCTGGCGTCACAGACCTCAAACTTTACACTGGAACTTTCTCTCCTCATCTGGTTTGTCAGGCCATCACATTTACCTCACCTTCTGCCCCCTCTTGGTTACTACCCATGTCCAGTAGAACCCCAGTTTAAAGCGACTAAGAAATAGTTTCTGCCTTCTAAAGGCAAAGAGTTTTCATAAGTCAACACTTGGTCTGGAGGAAAAATGCAGGGCTCAGGGCAGTCAGTGTTTTCTTTCAGAGTTCACAACCTTAGCAGCAGCCACGAGGATGGCTTGAAACAAAAGTGACAGCTCTTGAAATTTCAGGGCAGCCAAACCGCTGGCACTCAAGCCTTCACCCCAGCACCTCTAGTCAGGTGATCAGGAGCTTTGCGACCCAGGTATCACCTAGGAGAAAGATGACTAACCATGAGATTCCTGCACGTTATACAGCAGGAAAAAGAGCACATTGTGAACTGAACAACACACGAAGGAGTTAACAATGCATTAAAAAAAAGCTCAAGTCAGACAGGAATCTGGATATTAAGGGCAACCAATTTCACGCCCCCAGTGCCTTCAGACATAAATTGTATCAAGTCCTGAAGGCTATAAGAAATCCAGCTGGCAGAGGTAACCCACGCTCTCTTAAGACTGCATCATTAATAGTATCAGTATCAAAACAGAAAGGACAAAGGAGCGGTAAGGAGGGGAAGCTATGGTTTGTGAGGAATTAACGCAAATTGGAACTTAGTTCCTCCTGTGGACATGAAACTTTCTTCTCTGCGTTTCTGTAGGAACTAGAGTTTTTAGAGCTGGTCAAAGGACAGATACCTCCCAGACGTAATTCTGACCAAGTATGAACAGCTGAAGCTCTTACTTGCAAGTCTGACAAAGTGGACTATCTCCTTTTGGGAAAAGTTATATGCAAATCCTAATTGCACGAGGCGGGTTTCATTCACCTAAGTGATACAGAAAACTTCTCCTTCATCCTATATCTAGACCTAAACTCTCTTAGCACTTAAAGTGTATTAAGCAAGCTTGAGGAAGAAAAAGCTGAAAAGTTTAGACTCATTTGGCCTCTCAGCACCAGAGGGAACGTTCCCTCAAACAAACACAGCAAGTTAAAAATACAACAGTGCATCCATTTAAAAGAGGGAGAGAAGTTTAAAATAATGAGCTTTTTTTAACCTTCTGCAGCCTGTAGAAGTGGACAGGCACATCTTCCAACAAACAAGACTCCTTAATGAACTTCAGCACTGCTTCCTTCGCATTTAGGCCTTGCTGTTCTCGGTGCATCTCTGGGGCATGTTTCAAGATGTAGTCACTCCCCCTCTTTGCAATTATCTAAACCACAAGGGAAACAAACAAGTCAGCAACTCTTCAGTCCTCACAGGAGGCAGCTGCGATCAACAGCAAGGGCTAATCTAGAGCTGGAGGAGTTCGCTCAAGAAGTTAGTTTAAGTTCATCCCTACTTCCCTGGAAAACAAGCGTTTAAAGCAGCCCAGATGATACCGATGTCTCCAGACAGACTCCTAGACGGTAAAATCATACCAGACAGAGTACGGGGATTTTGTCAGCTCTTTTTATTCTCAAGTGTTGGAATTATTTTTCTTACTCTTGATATCCTTAAATGCATATGCGAAGATAACTAATACTCCTCTGAATGCCAACACAATCAGCAGCAACATCTCTCAACATTGCAGAAATGCTAGGTAGTTAGTAGTTTTTTCTTTTTTTTTTCTTTTTCTTTCTTTTTTTTTTTTTTTTAAAGATCAGAAACATATTAGGCTTATTTAGCATTTCCATCCTCAAAGGGGACCATAACTCTACCTCAAGATATTTTGTACCCAACTGGAGCGGTTGGCAGACACACAGGACTTTGCTAAGCAGCAGGGAATCCTGCACTGGACCTTTAGCTCTTGTCCTGCAAGCACCCAGGCCCCATGTTTGGCTGCGTGTGCTCTCTCTTACAGCACTACACTGCAGCCGAGTCTCCTCCTGTGCCAGAGAGGCCTCTTCTACACTGGGAGCAGCGGTGAGAGACAAGTGGCGTGCTGGCTGGATTCTCTTCATAACGTCCCCCATCATTCAGGACATTTAAAACTCACCAGGTGTTTGAGAACATCCTGCGAAGAGCAGTCTGTCCTAGCCTGAAACTGTCAAGACCTCATCAATTGGTTCCCCCTTCCATTTTAACTTAAGCCCCTTGCTTACTCTATCCTGCAACACCTCTGCCCTTCTCTGCTTGCCAGCTCACACGATTAGTTATCCTCCCACAAGGAAGGCTGGGCTCTGTTGAGAACAACATCAATGCAATCAGCTGTGCAACATCAGCACAAAGAGAAGCGCCAGCCCCACAGTTCAAAGCCAGGTTGCCTGCTTTGGAGGAGCACTGCCTCTTCTTACTTGCACAAGGGTTGCGGCAGCCCTCGGCCAAACAATCTCGAGCACGTGTTGGTGTTGTGGAGGAGATCACGCAGTGTCTCCCCAAAGGAGCCTGGGGGCAGGGAGAGAAGCGTCCCCATGACTGCCAGATTTTGCTCTTTGTAATGATAAATCACCCACATGTTTGCTTAGGGCTGTGCCTCAGTGCAGGTGAGCTGGGCTCTGCCTTGGCCTTTGCAATGTTTGCCAGAAGAGCAATGCTCTGCGATAAGATTTTCAGCTGCCCCATAAACAGTGCACATCACACCCATCTTTTCCAGCCATTTCTAAGCTACCTAATAGCTAGGAAAGGCATGGGATGAAGGTCTGTTGTCCGAGAGAAAGGAGCATTTTTGCCCAGTAGGGCAGGCAGGCTGGGACTCGTGTGTAAAAGAGTCCATACTAGTCTTGCCTCCCTGACACAACCCCCATCTACTGCTCTGAACTTTCTCTGTGAAGCTGGGGGACAGTGCCACCTTGCAGGGGAGAAGTGACTTGCCCAGAGAGAAGGATCCAATCACCAGAGGAATCCAGGCATTTTGGCAGCTATCCCAAGGCCCCAGCTGGGCTGCACCAGCTGTCAGCGCAGATAAAGGGGCTCCAAAGCTAAGCTGGGTCACAGGAGGGTCTGTCCGGTTCCTGGGAAATATCCTTCACCGGCAGACGACACTGAGGGGGGGCCGCGCTCTTCCTATGTCCATAACAAACCTAGCTTTCCCTTCTATTTTTATGGTCACTGAAGTGCTTATGGACAGTTTTCTTGACCTTTTTTTCACCACAAGGGAATTCTCTGCAGGTAACTCGTTCTGAGAGACTACTTCTTTAAACTCTTGATTCATGGCTACTTTGCTTTCGTTCAGTGGCTAAACCAACTCTCGGCTTTCTAAGCTGTTTGCTACTTTTAGAGGGCACACACATGCACATGCTTACAAACAAACACGAAAAAATGTTTCCAGGCCCTTCCCTTTTCTTTTACCACAACCGGGCCCTAGATGAATGGCAAAGCAAGCACTAGAGGCGCTGTAAGGCAGTACTCCCCTCCAGGGTTTGGATCTAGCCCTCCCAGAGGTAAACATGAAGGAGCTAAAACCAAAGAGAAATTTACTTAGCTTCATGGCCCTGAGGTTTTCTATAGAACTTGGGCTGCGCAGATCTTTCCGATATACTACTGCAAACATACAACCCTTTAAGCCACAGAGACTTAAAATAGTAACTTTAAGCTTACTGTTTAAAAACAGTGTACTGTCAGAGTCATTCATTTGACACTAACACATTTCCTCACTGAGGGAGAACATGCACCACCTACCTTGCTCAGAAGGAGCCTAGGAGGGTTGGGCAGTTATATTAAGCGAAGAGAGAGAAGGATACAGCTTCTCAGTGAGAATCAGGACAAAGCTTTATGCACTCCGACCACCTTTTGCAGTGGGAGCCCAGGGAAGCTGTATGCCTACAATTAAGGATCGTTTTGCCATAGCTCCTGCTGTCCACACAAACAGAGACAGAAAGATCCTCCCCAAACTTACCCATTGCGGGAAATAAGCCTGAGGTTCAAAATATTTGCCAGCATGGACTTCATCCTTGTAGTTGCCTAAGTCTGCCTGTAAGCTGTAGGCAGCTAGCAGGAAGTAGATTTCTTCTTTGTGGTTGCATCGAGACATCAGTACCTGCTCCTTGAGATGGCAGTAGTAGAGCTGCCTTGCCACCTTGTCACTGCAAGATACAAAGGCAGAGTTAACTGCTTGAGGAAGAGAAAAAAGGTCAGGCTCAGACAAGGTCTCTCAAATACACGCAAGAGGAGCGATTAAACTTTGGCATCCTGATGTGTGCCAATGTCACCATAATATAATTAAGCATGTTTAGGGAGCCCCAAGCCAAGATCAAGGCCTTCTCACACTAGGCACTGTGCAGACATGGGAAATTAGACAGCCTCTGTCTTAAGCAGCATAAGATCCAAGTAGTTAGGGCAGAGGGTAGACGAAAGATAATCACATCAGACCTGTTTCAGAGACTAACTACATCAAGCACTTTGGTCTTTCTGGAAAGCCTGTAGCAGAGTCAGGAGAACCAACCACCTTGAATCCCAGTCTTGTTTCTTACATACCTGTCTTCCTTTCCCCTCTAAACCTCACATTGCTTTTTCATTTCACCTTGCCTTAGGCTCCAGGTGCTTTTCAACAGCTAGTTCCCTGCAAGGTAGATCAAAAGAGGCAGGAGCCTTGGGCTTGTTTTTGTCCTCTTCCTCAAGCCACTAACCAGGGATAGCCTGATAATGCTACCCAGTATGTGCTATTAATAATGCAGGCACACCCCCATTATAAGAGCACAAGGAAAGCAGGCAACTGATAGGTTCATTTGGATGAAATGCTGGACACTAGAGCTGCTTGTAAAAGCAGGTGTGTGTAGGCTGAAGTTGGGCCACATACCTAATTCTGCATGGCTCCACAAACCTCCTCCAATTAAACTAATCGTGCAAATGAGTGCGAATATGTAGGGGGTGCGAGAATGCTAAGCCTTGCTGTCTTTGTGCCAAAAAAAAAAAAATAGATTAAACCAAAAAACACCTAGCAGACAAAGAGACTCTAGAAAACTCTCCTGCATCCAAAAAAAAAAAAAAAAAAGACCGTGGAGCGAGAAAAAACAAAAAAACTAAAAAGCTTTGTTCTAGATGAGGACAAATGCGAAAAATTAAGTAAAGATTGTACTTGATTTTAATCCACCTGAATGCTTTCAGCTCTTGGCTTGCCCTGGGGTCACAGCCACACCAGTAGTGCTGATGCAAATAAAATCTGTCAGGTGTTCATTTTTAACTAACTCATCATTTGTTCTGCGCTGTGCAGCAAGAGTGATTGCGTTTTGAGTGCAGCCCATATTCCATGTGAATGGATCCCACTCAAATGCAAAATTCTAACTTATGAAATAATTTCTTTTGTCTGCTTCCAGAAGTCCATTCTTTTCCAGGAGCAGATTATACAGAGCGCTGCTCAGATACAAAAGAACAAAACCAAAAATATTAGAAAGTGTTCCGGAGCACAGATAGCTATTTTTGGTATATTCATGTGATGCCTGTCATGCTGTAGATGCAACCAAAAGACTGTTAAGTGTATTGCAATACTGCCACCATTCAACCTGCTCTCTAGACACAGAAAAGGAAGCGTCCAGAACTCTCCTAGGAATGACAAGGACCATATGGGGGGGGGGGGGGGGACATTCATGGTTGCTGTGAGATCATCTGGGATGGCCTTAAAAAAGAAATCAAACTGCCATATTCATTGTGGGTAGCACAGAGAAGCAACAGCTAGAATCAAATATAAGAGTAAGTATGAAGACAACAAACAAGACATTTCTGGCTGCCAAACCAGTAATATCCAATAACTGCAGCTTTCAAATTACTTAGATGTAAAATTAAAAAAGGCAGGTTCAAAACAACGTACTGCAGAGAAAATAAAACCCTACACAACTACTTAAAAGACATGTCGTTTGACTCCTGTTTTATTTTGTTTATTTTTCCAGAGGAGAACATGCTGGCAGAACCATTTGGGCAAGTGTCCAACTTCTTTTTGGGTTCTCACAAACACAGAGATGAGTCTACCAAAAGAAACACGGTTTTTCCCGCTTGTAAGAACACACCGAATGATTTAAAACACAGTCAACTACTGCAGAAGGGAACTTACCTTATTACCCTTCCGTTTTCCACGTAGTATTGTACTCTAAAGAATGCCACAAAAGGAGGGCTAAATTTCTCTGTTCCCTAAAGCAAAGGCAGAAGACTTGTTAACAAACATTCAGCATCTTGTTCTTATCTTCTTGTAACATTCCCCTCCCCAAGCTCATTCCTCATATTATTTTCATTCTCCACGCTAAGCTGTTCAGCCGGGTTTTTGGGGGCTCTGATCATCACTGAAGCTCCCATCAATGAAGCATCACAAAACTTTTAGACAGGATGAATGACAAAACATCCTAGGGAGAGGAGGAGAGTTTGGACAGGGAGGATGAACAGATACAAAAGAGTCCCAGTGTAGTCTGGGGATGCCCAGCCTAGCTCCATATTACTTAGCTCAGCACCTGGCAGCACTGCAAACATATTAATGCTGAACACAGCAAGCTTAATATAACCTTCCTGAAAGTACCAGGTAAAGCAATTCAGGAAGCATGCCACACTTGCACTGCTGTAGTGTTTCCAGAACACACCTACAGCGAACACCGGTATCTCTGCTCAGCACCACATCAAACAACAGGGACACACACACTGCTGCAAGAGTAACACGTTCAACCTTTGCTGCCAGAGGCTGAGGTGTACCAGCGTAATATTATTTGTCTTTTGGTTGGCAGGGCTAATGTTCAGTTACTCACAGCTTTCTGCAGCCACAGACTGAAAAAGAGACATTTATGTCTACTTCACGTTTAAGATGTGTGCTAAAAGAAAGCCAACAAGATTTTTTTTTTTGGTTTAAATATAGCCTTCCTTTCAGCCTTAGAGGCTTATTTAAATGGAAAAAGAGAAAAGGAACATCTTGTCATTTTAGTAGTTCATTCTCTCCCGTCTTGTCCACTTTTGCCTCCTACTTCTTCAATGTTTCATAGGTATCTTGGCTCACGTGGGCAGTTCCAAGAGTTCATGGGTCAGACTCTTGTCCCTGGGAGAAGGTATACGGCATGCCATGCACATCTTTGATGCTGACAGCAACATCTTGATCATCAAGCAAATATTTATGTTTTATTTCTGCAGTTTGGGCACCGTGACCCTATTTCATCAGCAGAGCTGGGCTTTTCACCTGAGACCTTTCAACGCGAATTAAATCCTGTCTCCCAGCCTCCTAGTTCAATAGCCTAACTCAGTCCCAGACTTCAGCACTGCCAAGGGCAATTCATTTAGCCTTTTATGATTCATCTCACACAACAGATTCAAAACTTATCCTGACTTAAAAAAGTGCTGCAAGAAGCCAGTCCTAACGTAACTACAAAGCATACCCCACACTGAGGTGATCAGAACTACGTGAAATACCTACCCTGGGAAAAAACGTTGCTGCCAGGATAGATAACCCTCCCACACGACCGGTTGCATTGAAAGTACTTGTTAGTTGTTTGGAAGAAGCAGAAGTGCAAAAGAGAGACCCCTGAGCCTCCCTAGTCATCTATAAACTGCAAATAAAAGTAGTTGAAATGGCAAGCGTATCAGAACGTATTTGGATGTGTATCAGAATGCATCTGGATACAACACTTCATTCTACACTGCAACTCCTTTGATAATAACACATGCAAAACAGGCATTATCATGTTTGAATGACCAGTACTAGACAGTTATAGACTTGTCTTTATTTCATGTAGTTTTCCCCTCCTTTGACTGTGCTGGCTAATCTAAAGAACTAGG